ATGGACACATTGTTGCTTATTACTTCTTGCAATGGATAAGATCCAAGCTTCTTTGGTTGATTGATTCAATCTCTATTTTTCGCTTTATGTATATGATTGACTTGTATCTCAAGCAATCTTTTTTTTTTTTGGTCACTCAAGCTATCTTCAATCTTTGTTTATTCTAGATGTTCCTCTGTTAGATTCTATGGCATATATATATAGTCATTGAAGAAGTAGAAATAACCAAGAAAAAAGAAAAAGTCATATTGATGTAAAAAGTTGCCAAGATTCTACATCTTATTATTGAAAATGAAAACCGAAAATGAAACTCGAAAAACAGAGAAATGAAGTTCTGAAAATGAAACTCGAAAAACAGAGAAATAAAGTTACAACAACAGAGAAACACTACTCAGCCGCGGTCGCTGCATCATTCTCTGCATCATTCATCGCTTCATCGGTTCCAGCATCAGACACCGTTGCATCAGAATCCGTTGCATCATTCATCTCTGCATCGGTCGCAACTGCAGTTACAAACAGAGAAAAGACAACAAAACAACAACTTGTTATTCAATTAAATTTGTCAAAATGAAACACAAAAAACAGAGAAACAAACCAGCCTCAGCTGCAGCAGCTGCATCATTCACCGCTGCATCAGTCGCAGCGCGGGAAGCCATTAAAGATTTGTACTCCGAGATCTCTTTCCTAGACCTCTCCCTATCCTTACGACCTTTTTCTTGATAAACCTGTTTCAAGAACCATTAATCAAATCGATTAAATCTCATTCGAGATAAGAGGAACTCTAAAACGTACTTTGGATTCATTATTTTCAAGTTTTATTAACCTCTCTATCAGATTTAGAGAGACTTCTCCACATTTCCGCAATTTCTAGAGTGAGAAGTTGTCCTGATCTAGGGAAATGAGGTCTAAGCCTCTCGTAGGTCTCGGAAAAGAAGAAGTTATAACCGCTTCTGTGCGACTTAGGTTTCTTAGGATCTGATTTTGATTTCTTCTTGCGGCTTGGAGATTCAAGACGGTAAACCACTCCTTTGAGCTCTTTTGAACCCATCTTCACCCTTACAAAATAACCGTTATTGAACTTCCCTTCGATTATCCCATCAACCTCGGTTCCAGCTCGCAGTGCTAGAGTCCATGAAAGTTTCAGTAGCAAAACTCAACACTCAAAATAAGATTAGAAGAAGTGAAGTTTTTGGATAGAAAAGATGAAATTCATTAAACATATAGAAATAATGACTCTACATCGAAAACATTCAAGCAGTATAGTACCATTGTCATGATTTGCCGATTTTCCGAGAAGGCCACTTAATTCTTCTTCTGCGAAAAAGGGAAACGACTCATGTTATCTCCATGGAGAATTAGAAAGAGACATATAAGAAAAATATGATTGGTATTATTCAGACCTCTCGCCGCGAATGAAGAAACTGGTTTTTTGAGGTAATACACATGCTCGAATTTAAAGAGCATTGGCACATAGTGCTTCTTCAAAGCAAGTGAAGCATTTGTTATTGGGGTCTTCAAACCAAATGTTGCAATCACTTCAGTGCATTTACGGTCCTTGATCACCTAGAATCAAAAATGTTTTTTTGTTAGCAATGAACCCCATACATTAAATCAATATGGTACTGTGAATTAGTTACCCTTTCAAGACCGAGTCGAGCTGTAACCTCTTTGAAAAGCTTATGTAGACAGATACTTTTTCCTCCCACAGTAGGAACCCTTTTACAAATCATATACAAAAAGCAAAAACCATATCAAATCATACCAAAACATTTTACTCAAAGCAATTTGGACTTAATGGTAACCAAAACAACACATTCTCAAACCCCTTTCATGGCTTTACCTTTTCTAGATTTAATATTAACCAAGTCAAATCTGATTTATGTTGCCTTGTGATTTTGGATTAACCAGTTTTACAACAGAATAGATCTAATTTAGTAAGCCATATACATATTTCCTCAATAAAGGAAAAATCATTTCATTAAAACCCTTATTGATTTTTTGTTCCATTTCCCCAAACAAATTTAATCAACTCCTTAAATCTAGCACAATACAAGTCATATATTTTTGATAAATTCACAAAATTGCATGAAATCTCTATAAATTCACAAGCAATGTAAATTAGGGTTTTTTCAACTACGATTGAAAATTATTAATTTCATTTTGTTATGAGATTATGGAAAACGCAAAATCCAAAAAAATATTAAATGATAAATCTGTGTATAAGTAGATCCTAATATAGTTTATATAATAAGGGATAAGGCAAAACTTACATTAAAGGGTTGTCAGTACATCCGAGAAAATCACGGAGTTTTTCCCAGAAGAGATCAGAGTTTTGGACAAGATCCTCGTACGTAGTTTTACGAGAAGAATCAGAATTGGTTTTGTTGTTGTCTGAAGAAGATCCATTAGCAAAAACTACTTGATTTTGCGATGAATCATCGGTCGATGTCATTTTTCTTTGTTAAATGGTTGATAAGATTTTTGTAACTTTCAAATGTTAAAAAATGATATAAACTAGTAAGATTTGGATGAATTTCTTCTAATCTAGATAATCTTTATGTAGATTTTTTTTCTTGTCTCTCCACCACATAAAAATTTATTACATTTCTTATCTTTTTATATCCACGCGTCAAATAATATTAAATTTATAGACTAATAACAAAATGTTGAATAACTCTTAGCGTTTTTTTGGTAAATATTCTAAATGTAGTCAGCGTATTAGATTTTAGCAAATTTAATATTAAGTTAAGTGATTTATTTTTTTAGGTTTGATAATTGAATAAAAAAAATTAGCTATTATTGATTTTTACGGTTATATAGCTAGTATTTTATTTTAGGAGAAAACATAATGTAGTGGAGGAAAAAATTGTAAACTATTTAAATAAAAATATCTTAAAGTTGCTAGTATTGTATCATCCTTCGACTCTATTTTTTGTAAATCTCTTTTATAAACTCAAGGACAAACTAGTACATTGTTAAATCTCCTCCCAAAAGTACTCAAGATCATTTTTATTTTTTAAGAAAATTTGTGAACGTGTTTTGTGTGATCTGGTTTTTGTTCTATCGGTGAAGTGAATATTGTGAGATTATTGAGTGATTTTGATCCGTAAAATATATATTTGGGTTCACAAAAAATGTTCTTGCTATTCATGTGAATTATGATTTTCCTTGTTAACATATACAGTATATAAAAGAACTTACGTTTTTACATCACACAATATAATCTTACGAGTCATTCATATATATAGTGTTACAATTGTATACATTATTCACAATGTATCCCTTGATATCATAAACAATGAGAAAAAATGAGACTGATAAGAAATAGTATAGATGCTTATTGAAACCATAAAAATGAAATTCACCGGAGTTTTGGAATCTAACGATATAATTGTAGGACCTTGTAAAACCGAAAATGAATTTTTTTTTTTTTTCCGAAAATGAATTTTGTGTAAACGATAGAATAGATGCAATACTAAAAGAACAGTGGATAAAAAGAGACTTTTATAAAAACGTTTTCGAAAACAGAAATGTGGAACCGAGATTTGATATTTTTCCTTAACCCAATAAATCGTTTATAGTGTGATGGTAATAAGTACATGTGTGTGGTTTGGTCTATCTCCTCTCTTCTATACACTCTCCTCTCTTCTATACACGGATACACCATAATATGCACCAATGAAATATATATTCACCATGAAATCTTCAGCACCAATGAAGAAAATTGGAAGGAACAACTTCTTGTTCTTGTACAAAGAGATCGTCTTGATTCCGTAAAATGGCATGGACCAAAGAAAGAAAGACACCTATAAGAATGCCAAGAACCAAACTTTGAAGGCAATGCGTGAACCACAATGCACAAATCGAGCCAAAGATCAACACGAAGACAATCACACGGTCGTTAATATGTTGACCGCACAAAACCAAAGAATGATCTCTACAAAAGTAGAAGAGCAACCACATTATTGCAAAAAAGACAATAGTGAAAAGAGCGGTCATATCACCAATCGAAAAGAGTATGATCGAAACAACAGTCATAAGAGAATAGTTAACCGCAAAATGGCGGAAATTGAAGTTAACGCGCAAAATAGCGAAAGAGAAAGATGTTGGACGGTCCATAAAGCCTAATGCTAGAAACCCTGACCACCAAGGACGATAACTAGAAACAAAAGCTATCACATTTTGCATCGACATCAAGATAACATCACCGGTCGAGAGACTCGTCTCCTCCGCAATGATTGGAAGATTCTCCGCCGGTGATAGCATCGCCGGAGACCGCTTTTGAATTCACTGGTCAACCAATTTGACCGAAATTAAAACTTCGGAAGTTATATTATTAGCAACAACTAAAAAGTGGGTGTCACGTTAAGRAAACATTACGGGCCGGGCCAATTTGGTTAATGGGCCAATAAAGTCGGGTCGGATCCTCTTTTAAGACAGTGATTCGGTTCTCACAACGAAGAACAGAGCCAGAAGAGTCAGGTTCGTAAATTTACCGTTATACCCCTTGAGCTCATCTCCTTCGTCGAGGTTAGTCGTAGCTCTGTTTCAGATGGGATTCGTAGAAATCTAAGATTCCGATTTGCTTAATTGTCGAATAGTTTTGATGGGTTTTTGCGATTTTTGGAATCCAAGCCTTGTTGGGTCTTCGAATTTAGGTTTATCGAGTCTGGTTAATTTCATGAAGTTACAGAGATGATAAAGAGACATCAATGTCGGATTGAGCTTGAATATGATGAAGATGAAGTCTGTTATTCATTCGGGCACAAGTATTGTCCGTAAAGCTTCTCGCTTTATCATCTTCACCTCGAGGAAATTCTGTAATAGTAGTAGCATCAATGGTGATGAAACCGATAATGGTCCCTTGAAGATAACTTGGGAATCTACGGAGATGGATTGTGGGTTTGATGAAGAACATGAAGAAAAAAGTTGTGGTAATGAGAAAATCTCTGTTAGAAGAAGGTTTATAGAGAGTACTAAACTCGGTGCTGCTCGGATTCTCGATACATTACAACAAGATTGTCCTGGGTTTAATACGAAATCAGCTTTAGATGATTTGAATGTTACAATCTCAGGACTTTTAGTTAGAGAGGTTCTTGTTGGGATCTTAAGAACATTGAGTTTTGATAATAAGACTAGGTGTGCTAAGTTAGCTTACAAGTTCTTTGTTTGGTGTAGTGAACAAGAATGTTTTAAGCACACAGCGAATTGTTATCATTTGCTTATGAAGATATTTGCAGAGTGTGGTGAGTATAGAGCTATGTGTAGGCTAATCGATGAGATGATTAAAGACGGTTATCCAACGACTGCGAGGACGTTTAATCTGTTGATATGTACTTGCGGTGAAGCGGGTCTTGCGAGAGATGTTGTGGAGCAGTTTGTCAAATCGAAAAGTTTCAGTTACCGGCCTTTTAAACACTCGTACAATGCGATTCTGCATTCGTTGCTTGGGATGAAACAGTACAAGCTGATTGATTGGGTTTACGAGCAGATGTTAGAAGACGGGTTTTCGCCGGATGTTTTGACTTACAACATTGTTATGTTTGCAAACTTTAGGTTAGGGAAAACAGATCGGCTTTATAGATTGCTCGATGAAATGGTTAAAGAAGGGTTTTCTCCGGATTTGTATACATACAACATCCTCTTACATCATCTAGCGACGGGAAATAAGCCGCTCGCTGCTCTTAACCTTTTGAAGCATATGAGGGAAGTAGGAGTAGAACCCGGCGTGATCCATTTCACGACTCTGATAGACGGGCTAAGCCGAGCTGGGAAGTTAGAAGCTTGCAAATACTTTATGGACGAAATGTTGAAAGTCGGGTGCACACCGGATGTTGTTTGTTACACTGTTATGATCACAGGTTATATTTCAGGCGGGGAGCTCGAGAAAGCGGAGGAAATGTTCAAAGAGATGACGGAAAAAGGACAACTACCGAACGTTTTTACATACAACTCGATGATCCGCGGGTTTTGTATGGCGGGTAAATTCAAAGAGGCGTGTTCGTTGCTCAAGGAAATGGAATCAAGAGGTTGTAACCCTAATTTTGTGGTGTATAGTACACTGGTGAACAATCTAAGAAACGCAGGGAAGCTTTTAGAAGCTCATGAAGTAGTCAAAGACATGGTAGAGAAAGGTCATTATGTTCATCTAATTTCAAAGATGAAAAAATATAGAAGATCTTAGC